TCTTACCCTCGTTGGCATGGGGAAGCCGTTCTCTTCCATAAAAGGTAAGAGGTATCCTCCCAAGCAGCCGTCCACGTGGAGATTAGTCTTGTGATCCAACGCAATCTTCGACAAACCTTCTATATTATCCACCACGCCTGAACCCAACATAACTTCAACCACTGCTATTGCGCCCGACCACAGCAAAGCAGAGACAGAGATATTATTTGAATTACCTTGAGGAAACTGCGGACAGCTGCCCACAATAGCGACAGTATTCTTGTTCACCAATGTTTCGACATGATTCAGATCAACGTCCATAATCTCCTGAGCACAACAGAGATGTCAGACATTCGCCATGGTCAGTCGAACCGGCAAGCTCTACTATACGATAGTGTAATAATCGTAACACAACTGCCATCGAGGGATAGCTAGAGTATCTTATCGAGATGAGAGTATAATCTGATGACCCGGACAAAGTAAAGTCAATACACGCGACTAATCACTATAAAGAAGGCATCTTCCATACTACCTCATTAAGCCGAGCTATCCGAACGTCTATGCCAAAATACTGTCCAGCTTTGATGAAAGCAGCATGTGCACTGCGAGGTATGACGATGTTAGGCTCAGTGATACCCCTCTCCGCTCTGAAGAAGATCAAGCAACAACTCATTATGTACAACCGTACCACAGCCGGATGAGATCTTTGTGAGAAGACGAATGCCTGTGAGCAGAGATTTACCTTCCCCAGTCCCTATAGGCCTTCATCGCCAGCAGAATTGACTCAGTTCCGCCGCTAGTTACGGAACCACAAGCTCCTTCATCCGGCTTACCATTGAACAGATTGAGCGTCATTGCGATAACCTAGCGTGTAGTCGTGACTCGTCGTCCGAGTGATGCAAACCCCACAAAGCTATCGTACCTCGGCTTCCATTTGTCGGGTCTTGGTGAACACGTCAGCATGTAGCAGATTGCTAAGGCCGAACATCCCCAATACCTAGAAGCGCGCATCATGAGTATTGCTTTGGAACAGTCTATACTTACTTTCCCTTGCATCTCGTATAACTCCTCACCACCGTGGTACACACACCCACTCTGACCGCCATTCTTCCAGTTCATGTGTTCTTTCTCTGCGCACTTCTCCATGTGGGG